GAGCCCGATGCGGGGCTCGATCCCAGGACCCTGGGATCATGACCTGAGCCGAAGGCAGACGCTTAACGACTGAGCCACCCAGGCGCCCCAAGATCTTTTTTTCTTAAGTAAGAATTTCATGTGCTTGCAGACCCAAAACCAAACCCTTGTGGTTACTTCTCATTCAGGGCTAATTAGGCACATCCCATCAGCCCATGGGGGTGGTGATATATGTGTACCAAATTAACCTTAAAATACTGTCTGTCTAGCTTCAGGTTTTTTATTTAGCCTGTGGTAACAGGACAAAGCTGTGGAGAGTGGAAAACCCTCTGACCACCAGTTCGGAAGTAGACTTTGAACCAGGCTCTGCTGCTTACCAGAAGACCGTAACCTCTCTGAGCTTGGCTTCTTTGGTATACAAAAGAGGGACTCCGTAACTCATAACGTTCTGTTTTACTATGGCCCCCAAACACACCTATCCGTGTACCTGGTACACAGTGGATCTCAAGAAAGGACCATGAACATGAGCACGGTCAGTTGAGCATTTGTGTGACCTGCACTTCCCTGGGTCTGTGCGGCCTTCCCCGTGTGTCAGTCCGGCCTACCGAGCCACAGGACGGGTGGAAGAATCAAAAGTTAAGAGGCTTAAAAGTCTATAAACTCTCCAGAAATACAAGGTATTGTTGTGTCATTTCAGAACAACAGGTCTAAGACAGGTCTCCAGTGATCTGTAGAGCCATGTAAATGTGCCAGGTGTCCTCTCTGACGCCTGTCCTCGGACATCGCCATTCCTTCTGCTCTGCCCCCGATGCCCTCTCGCCCTCCAAGCCCTCTGCCACTCTATTGGCCAGAGACTCTCACTCTCTGGCTTAAAACATCTCTTGCCTAAAGGGTGTTTCTCGGAAGTGAGAACCATGGTTTCCCCCAAAGGTTCCACGGACCTCAGTTTGAGAAACATCCTGATAGATATTAGTGGTGCCCCTTCAAGTCAGAGGGGGCAAAGCCATCCTGCAAATGGGTTTATTTGGTTTATATCATGCTTTTGAAAAATCTGGAATATATGCTGACATTTAGAAATCAGGAGGTTTCATAGCTTCTCATGAAAAATGACAAGCTCTAGCAAATGGGGGCCCAGGTGGCTGGGGCTGAGGAGAAGCTGCCCTTCCGACAGGGCTGTGTCTCCAGCCTGCTGTGGCCACCACCCGGCCCCCTTCATCATTTATATTGCCCCTGGTCGTGGTGAACATCCAAGTGTGCAGAGCTCACTGGGTGACTGCTGGGCCCGGGGCCATCTCAAGCACAAGCTCTGGTCTGAAAGGCCCATAGGTGGTTTTCCAGATGACCCGCGTGGTGTCTAGATGATCCACAACGTGTCTAGACTAATTTTTATCTTTAGATACTCATTAAAATAACGACATAAAAATCTTAAATCCTCATAGAGAACTCCTAGATGTGAAAAATGTCTGCTCTCCAGTGTGAAGGTCAAGTTCGCTGACATTCCAGAACTTTCATAGGCCGGCTGGGTGGCACTTGCCTTTCCCCTGTTCTCTAATCTCTTATGCTTGGACTCCAGAGCCCACCTGGCCTCCCTATGCTGAAAGGATTATGCACGTGGGAGAATTAGTGAGCATAGTCCTAGGTTTTGGAGAGGGTCTGTAAGTCCGCCTATGGCAAACGTAAGGACAGAGCTGTTCTGACTCCACCCCGCATTGCACATGATGCTTTGGATTCACCATCTCATTAAGCTGTAAGACCTGTCCTCTGCAGACAGAATTTTCTCTTCTTCCTACTGTTGCAGGGGAAACTGAGGTGTGGATCTGTCTGGGGGACCACCACCCCACCAGGAGCATGGCCCAAGTACTATTTTCCGCGGACTCTAGTGGGGGCCACAGCATCATCCCCATCTACACCAGGGCTTGGCATGCTGCACAGTGTCATACACACGTTAGCTATAAAATGTCACTGTACTTGGGGGAGCGCCTTCTTGCTCCTCCCCTGGCTCCTAGTGGCCTTTGCCATGAGTCTTGGTGCCATAGCTGGGTCCTGGCCAACCCTCCAAGGCCACCGCATGCGATGGGCCCAGTGCTCGCAGGATCTGTCGGTCCTCCTCACCTGAGGCCTGTCCTCTGTCCTCCCGGCCTGGAACCCCTTGCCCTCATTCCAGACACAGCACTTGCTAAACCCTGAGCACCTCTACATCAGAGAGCACATGCTGGGCACAATCGTGGTAGCTTCCTGTAGAGCTATGGATACACATTTGTTCAAATGCACAAGCTGATTTGACTGACCCATCCGAGTCCTGATGCCCCATGAGAGTGAGGAGAGGCACCAGGGTCCAGGGGGAGGGGAGGGCTGAGAGCCACTCTTCATGAATGGACATGAGCACCAGCACTTCAGTTTCTAGACTAAAAGTACTTTCAGTCTGTCATACCGTTGACAAAGCCACGTCGGAGGAGGCAACAACTTCCTGGATGTTCTTGACAACGTCCTCTGGGTCCAGTGTTGAGAAATTGACTGGCGTGTTCTCCTCTTTTTCTTTTGGCTGAGGTCTTATTGGCTTGCTGCTTTCCACCGCTTTCAAGAAGTCAAGGTAATTGAAGGAGTTATCATGCCAGCTGATTCCCCAACTTGTCCGGAAAGAAAGAAAAGAATACATTAATTACCAAAAAAAAAAAAAAAAACAACCCTATCGCATATTCTTTCAATAAATAGTTGCTGAGCAGAGAACAGTGAGCAGAATGTGAATAACGTGAAGACACTCTTCCCTGGCCTATAGGTTCACGCATGCCAGTTAGCACCCACAGATACCGTCATACAACAGAGCGAGGTGAGGGATAGACGTGAGGGCTGCTGGGGCCACAGACTGTCCTGCCCTGAGGCTCTGAGACTTGAAGGCTGGACAGTAGGGCTCAGGCTTCGGGGAGCGGACGATGGGAAGAGAAGGCCCGGCTAAGACACCTGATCCACTGACAGGGGCAAACGAAGGTGCCTCAGCAGAGACGTGAGGCTTGCAGAATGGTGGGAGGAGAGATACACCTGGCAACGGGGTCAGGGACGGTCTGGAGGCAAGGCTGGGCGGCGTGGGCGCTCGAGGCTGTGATCATCGCAACCTCAGCTCGTGAGTGCTGGGCTGAGAAACGGCAGCGGGATGTGAAAAGAAGGTAAATACGTCAAAGAGCGTGGAAAGGCACAAAGGAACTGAGGAAAATGGATGTCAGATTCCTTTTCGAGATTGGCAGAACTAAGTTGTCAAGCCGAAAGCACCCAAGAAATAGTTTTACAAAACCTATATGCTTAGTACTTTCTCAAAGAGAAATTCTGAGTGCACGTCTCAATAGGACACGCCATGTAGAAACAGAGGCTCCTTCCTGCCCTCAACTCTAACACAGAAAAAAATACCTTTAAAGTCTAGAAGAATATATTGTGAGAGAAAACCCCAAAGTTTCATGAGAACATAGAGCATATTTAAAGATGTAAGATAATTCAAAATAAAGTTTAACTGCATTCAAAGTTCCCATTTTTGTCACTTAAAGTCTCTGGGGATTACTGGCACTCTGACACCCAAACTTTCTATCAGCAGGGTGGAGTGCACATCAAAGAAGAACAGTGTGGAACGTTGGTAAGCCGGAGAGAGAAGTTTCTAGAGACTCAGATATCTGCTTCTAAAGAAAACAAGCCAAGAGCTGTGCTTTTCCAACCCACAGCTGCAGAGCGGCCTTCCACGGGCCCCACATCGCTGGCTCACATGACGGAGACATGGAGGAAAAGGCTAATCAACTCTATTTCATCAGCAGGATAAATTGCCAACTTGGTATTAAAATTTAGTAATAAAATCAAATGCATATGCTAATCGCAGTATTATTTAGAAAAGTCTATTTTGGATCTGGAAACGAATAATCTACATATAATTACAAATACCAGAGATGTTTATCATCAAGAGGTCTTTGAGAAGAAACAAGCAACCAAGCATTGGATCCTTATTAAGGTTTCAATTTGTAAAAAAGTTGATCACCCCCATTGAAAGGTGGACTACAGAAATCCCACAGTCTTTTTGTTGTTACTTAGAAAAGTACCAAGCCTAACTATGTTTTATAAGACTCTCCTACAATCATTTAGTTAATTATTTATCAGGTGCTGTTTTTCTATGAGTTATTCATTGAATGCATATGAATTCTCATTCAGCTAGAAATACATTTAGTGAGAGAAGAACCTGTTTAAGGAAGAAGAGAACGTATAGGCATATTTGAGGAGGAAATGGTCCTTCTTTTCATTACACACACACACAACACACACACACGCGTGCACACACACACACCCCGGCACTGAACTTCTCTTGCTCAAACACAATGGAGTGATGGCTTCAACATTTTAAGGAAAAATGATTTTCTCCCTAGGATTCTATGCTCAGACAAGCTAGCAATCTGCGTGAAGGAGATTAAATGATTTTTTCAGACAAAGAACTCAGAAAATTTATTTCCTGCCCGCCCTTTCTTAGAAAGTTACTTCAGGAAATACTCCAGCAAAGTAAGAATGTAAATCAGCAATAAAAAGGTATGTGGTGTAGCAAACAGGGGATCCAATCCTGTTGGGAACAGTAGGGATAGACCTGGGACAGGACAATGGTTGGGGAGGGGCAGGCTGTAGGATGGGGGCACCTGGGGAAACCTGTCAGAATAGGAAGTGGGATGGAAGGCTGGGGAAAGCTGAAGGTTGACAATGTTGAATTTTACCTGAGCCCCGTGTTCCTAGAAAACAGCTCTTTGTATTCCTGGAAACAGCTTACACAAAGAACCACCTTTCCCTGTACGACTTAGAAAAGATGCATGGACATCCAGGTGTGCCTACAAGACCGTGGACACAGAGGCTCAGGGATGGTGCCACTGGTAGAAAGCTACTTTTCATTTATGATCTGGGCACTGAACAGTATTTACATAGGCATAATTGTGAAATATTGGTTAATGGTTTTGAGTTTCAGAATCAACCTATGAACCAAGCACAGAAGACCCGGTTGTGGCTCCAGGACAGAAGGTTACATGTAACTACCTTTTCCCCAGAGTAAAACTGTACCTGACTAAAGATGGGACATGGAAGGAGCAGAGAGACAGTGGTAGAAAGAGGACGGGGTGCTGACATGCATAGAACTTGGAAGTGTCACTCTGTCCTGACAAAGCTGAACGACCTGAAAACCAATAGCTTTTCTTGTCCGTTCAGAAAACTGACATCACAGGGCAAAACATCACCCCCAAATCTGGAAGGATCTGGGCAAATACAGAGAATTACAGCCAAGGTGTTCTTTCCTGGATTAAAAGCCTTGGGAGCCAGAAGCTGGAAGGAACACTTCAAGGGTCGCGTGAAAAACGGGTGGAGGCTGTTTATGGACTGTGTGCGGGTGAGAAACTCGTGGGGACCCGTCTACAGCTAGGAGTCATTGTGGGGTAAAAAAGAGAAGGACTGGATGCTCTATATCACTCATCATCAGGCAGGGACTGCAAACCAAAACCACAATGAGGTATCACCCTACACCTGTCTGAGTGGCTAAAATGAAAAACACAGGAAACCACAGGGTTTGGCGAGGATGTGGAGGAAAAGGAACCCTTGTGCACTGTGGGTGGGAAGGCAAACTGGGGCAGCCACTGCGGAAAACAGTATGGAGGGTCCTCAAAAATTTAAAAATAGAACTACGCTGTGATCCAGTAATCATGCAACTGGGTATTTACCTGAAGGATACAGAAACACTAATTCAAAGGGATACATGCACCCTATGTTTATAGCAGTATCATCTACAAGAGCCAAACTATGGAAGGAGCCCAAGTGTCCACTGATAGATGAATGGATAAAGAAGATGGGGTGTGTATATCTATCTATCTATCTTTGAATATTATTCAGCCATAAAAAAGAATGAAATCTTGACATTTGCAGCAACATGGAGGGAGCTAGAGAGTATTATGCTAAGTGAAATATGTCCATCAGAGAAAGACAAGTACCATATGATTTCACTCATAAGTGGAATTTAAGAAACAGAACAAATGAGCAAAGGAAAAGAGAGAGAGGGGGAGAGAGACAAACAAGAAACAGATTCTTAACTACAGAGAACACACTGCTGGTTCCCAGAGGGGAGATGGTGGGGGGATGGGTGAAATAGGTGATGGGGATTAAACAGTATGCTTATCATGATGAAAAAAAAAACATAAAATAATTGTATCATCAAAGAAAGAAAAATAGAAGGACTGGTTAAGAGTCTGTGTGGGAAGCACTTGGACCCCATGCCCCTCCCGAATTCCAAGTGTCTGGGAAGCTGTCCCCCTCCCCCAGCACAAAACGGGAGCTCTGGAAACTGTGCTCTCTGGAGTCCGGGTTTCTGAACTAAAAAGCGGGTGTCCTAGTGCAAGACAGGGAGAGTTCTTAATGAAAAGAGGGATTAAGTGGAAGCTTGTGTATATCCTGACTTTACTAAAGAGTTTCCTATGGCTCCGTAACAAAATGCCAGAGTAGTGGGTGGCTTAAAACACCACACATTTCTTCTCTTACACTTCTGGGGCACCACAAGTCAGAGATCAGTTTTATTGGGTCAAGATCAAGGTGTCGGCAGGACCGTGTTTCTTCCAGAGGCTATGGGAGAATCTGTTCTTTGCCTCTTCTGGCTTCTCGTGGCTGCTGGTGATCCTTGGCTTGTGGCCACACCACTCCAATTTCTCCTTCTGTGGTCACTTCTGGGTGAAACCTCTCCCCGACTCCCTTTTATAAGGACACGGAGATCTGAGGCCCACCCAGACAATCCAGGATCATCTCCCCATCTCAAGACCCTTAACTTAATTACATCTGCAAGGACTCATTTTTCCATATCACATAACATTCAAAGGTTCCAGGAATTAGGACCGGGATATCTTCAGAGGGGCATTATGCAGCTTGCCACACTGACCATTGAAACTTCCAGGCTTCTTCTCCCAGGCAGCAACCAGAGTGTTGGCAGCAGGGCACCAAAGAATCCTCTCTGGTTGGGTTGCCAGATTTAGGAAAACAAACCAACAAAAACTTAGCGGGACACCCTGTTAAATTAGAATTTCAGGTAAACAAAATAATTTTAATATAAATTTATCCCAAATATTGCATGACACATAGTTAAACTGAATATATTATTGTTTATCTGAAATTCTAATTTAACTGGGCATCCCTATATGTTATGTGGTAACCCTAGTCCCTGGGAAATGTGACAGCCCAAAAGAAAAATGTTAAAGATCCTGACACTGGGGGTCCTCCAAGGACACTCCCTGCCAGGTTGCTCTACCACAGTAGTTCAGACTGAAAGTTCAAAGCCATGTGAGTAAGCTCCACCTATCTGCCCAGATTCTAATTGGCTTCTTAGAATCTCACTCTTAAAATAAGCATATTTTTGAGGAGAGTGTCTAACATAGAAAATAGTAGAAAAAAGTGACACTGAGGAGAGATCCCTCAGGTGAAGAAAACTTTTTAAAAAATCTGTTGTTAATACCTTCAGAGAAATGAGATCTCGCACAAGAGCACGGTGCTCTGAAAGAGGAACATTCTGAGAGCAAAAACAAGTTCTGGTCATTAGAAATATGATAAGTATGACAGCAGAAACAAAAATCCGAAAAGAAAGCTGAGAGCTAAAATTGAGGAAATCTTTCAGAAGGGGAAGCAGGAAGGAAAAGATGGATGATGGGAAAGATTTTAAAATATGAGGAAATATCCTATGTGGTTGAATATTCAGTAAAAATAAGAGTTTCACGAAGAACAGGAGAGGAAGTCCTTAATGAAGTAATCCAGAAAGTTTCACAGAATTAAAGAGTATGAAAAAGATGATCTGATGTGTCTGAACACTCCAGAAGAAGATTTTACGACTGGGGGCATGGTGGGGGTTTCATTAGTGATAGTGAGTACACAGAAAACTGTGCAAACAAACAAAAATCATTATTAATTCCAGGGAACCCAAAATGCTACGTAGGAAGGGAAAAGTGATCCATGAAACAGGTCACAACGTTATAAACCCCGAATACTGATCTACCCGAAACTGTGATGCAGCCACATGGGGGCCCATGGAGAAAAGTTTGTGGGTCCCCATGGAGAGGTGGAGGCTGAGGGGGTGAGGCGGTTGGTGCTATGTGATCGGTGAAGGAAAGTTAAACCCACATCTTCCTGGTGTGGAGTCAACAGACACTGCCTGAAAGTTACAAACCAGGAAGCAGCACATAGAAGCCCGTCACTTAGAACCACGAGTTAAGCACCAAACGGTACCCACGAAAGCAGCAGCTTTGTGGACTGTGGGGACGGGGAAATGCGGAGTAGCAGGGTGAAGGGGCTGCTGTCTTTACTGAGCCTCGTAGAACCATCTGACTCCCACCAAAGGGCATGAGTAACGTGGGGAGAGCAAAAACTAATGTTAGCGGAGAAGGATTATGCTGCTGAGAGCCATGGGGAAGAGAGACGTGCGCCCTCCTTGTGCTTTGGGTTGACTCCACGGAGGGAGGCCCGGATGTTACTTCACTGTTTGAATGGACAGAGAGGAAGAAGCGAAAGCCATTCATTTTCCATTTTCTAGTCCCGACTATGTGAGAAGCACCGTTAAGCCAGTGGAGGAAAACCTGTGTAGAAGATCGGTCAGCTCCTCTTCCTTAAGAGAACAGCCACACTCCTGCAGCACCTTCTGCATCCTGCCTATGGATATATAACCGTTTTTCCATCTGTCTAGTTTGGTGAGTGCTTTGCTGATATCTTGATAATGGTCCTTAAACTTTTCCCTGAAAGAGAAGACATTTTAGACACCCTAAAACCAGGAAAACAAGTCATTTCTTTAAAGCAAGAGCTCCATGATTGTTCTAATGATGATTTACTGGTTCATCAAAGAACTAATTTTGAAGATGTTTTGCAGCCTTGGTGTAATGCTTACATTAAAAGGTATTCTGGAAAAAATAATAGGTTTGTATTGTTGTCATGTTATTGTTACTATCATTAGCAAAACTGTGTTAGAGAAATTACCTTTTTTTTTTACTAGAATTGGTACTTTAAAGATAGAACAAGGAATTAAGACCTACAGTGATATTACAGACATGTGAAATACACCTTGATTCTCCCAGTGAAAACCCATGGAGCACCTACTACGTGCCAGCTACCACTCTGGGTGTTGGGATGCATCTAGGGGTTCAAACAGGCATCCCTAGAAGAACTTACATCCTCATGGGGCGAGGCTGACGTGAGACAGAAGGGGTCATCGCAGTACATCAGTAGAGACTGGAGAGTGGGGCTGAGAAGACCCGCAGTGGGAGCGGGGCTGCAATTCCCATGGGGAGGTGCAGGTGGGCCCCACTGGGAAGGCAGCACTTGAGTAGAGATGTGTTACCCCCAAATAGCTCTCCTGGGTCCCAGGATAGCCAGCGCCAATGCCCTAAGGCAGAGGTGCAGGAGCTTGGGGAGTGAGGAAGGTGGACAAGTTCTCAGTGTTAGCCGGGGAGAAGGGGTGCCCTGGGACCCCTGGCTTTTTATCAGATATTGTGTTGTTAAGAAACACAGCCACTGTTTGTGGGCATCAACTGGCAAACGAGGAGCTGTGCTGTCTTCATGTTCTCTCCCACTGATGCTTCTTAACAACCCTGCAAGGGAGGTGGGTAACTATAGCCCCACTTTATAGATGTGGAACAAGGGTGCCCAGAACCACGGTGGAGTCAGGGCCTGACCGGGCCTGCCTCTCGCAGGGACAGAGGCAGCGTCCAGCTGCAGCTTCTGCTGGAGGGCTGTTTTCCTTGCAGAACATGTTCAAGTTTCTATAAATCCATTTTTTAAGGAAAATTCTTCCCTGACCAAAAAAAATATATTGTTATGGGACTAAAAAAGTGTGGAAATCTTTAGGGATGGACCATCTTGCACCTGACTTTGGTGGACTGATGATAAACTCCATGACCTTGGCTCACCCAGGTCTCTAAAAAGAGAGACCTCCTTCCTACTGCCCTGAGCAACATGCTTGTCTGGCGGGCTTAGACTAGGACTTGGCTGTGGGGTTCTTATTCAGGGAAGAGAATGTGCTATAAATTCCAAACACAGAATCTTTGCTGTAATTGTCTACCACCTCAGAAATGTATTTGCGGAGAGAACAGTTCCTTGAGCATGCCTAGGAGAAAGAATCCAAAGGAACAGAACAGTCCAGAAGAGAGGAAGTTGAGTGGGAGCACACAGGTCAGGAGGGGGGGAGGGGGCTGGCGCCGACTTGGAAGCCACGTGGGCCATCCACCCCCTTCCCTCCTTGGCCTCCACTGTGGAGCTGGCCGACTAAGCATTTGAGCAACTGATACAAATGAGTTGCATTAACTGTTCTGCAAATGTATACCAACAGGAGCAACATTTTGGATTCCTTTACAGGTGTATGCTGAATTCAGTCCCATGTTACAAATGACTACTCATCATCACAACTATTATATTCCACTTAATCCTTCAAAATGAAAGCAAATGAAGGTATAAAAAAATCAAAACATTTTTTGAGATACATATTTTTAGAAAATTGAGGCATTCAGCATTTCTTGGATTGGTTTCTAGGCAGTAATTATTTCCCTTGCAGAGTGAATGTGTGCACAGAGTAAATGAGGGTTTGGAGCATCGATCGTGCCATGCCGAACAGAAACGGTGGGAGCCGACCCTCAGGGACGAGCTGCTGCTGCCCTGGGTCTGTGTCTGGTTCCTGGTCTGGCCAGTGGACGGCCACAGAGCCCTGCCCGACACAGCCTTGCTGGGCCGGGCTTCACCGGTTTTGCTGGTATACCCCCCAATCTGCATCCCGGAACAGGCCAGGGCTAATGGGGCTAGTTCATCAATGCTGCTCTGGTTCCAAATCTTCAACTCAGACTTGGGCAAAAAAGAGGAAGGCATGGAAAATAAATGTGAGTTTTAAAAAAAGGATTCTTAATTTTCAAAATGTATTTGGGGCACTCCAAACAAAATAAATTCTCTTAGATTTAAGAGGCAAATATAAATTTTGGTCACTTTACATGAACCTGACTCTCGTCTTTTTCATCAGAGGAGGGAGATCCTGTTTACTTGCCAATTTTACAATTCGACATCTTTGAGAAAATGGAAGTTGGTCAGGCATTTTTGTGAAATCAGGCTTGTCTTCTTTGGTAAGAAAGTGTGATTGTGGCAAGGAGGACAGGATGAGTGTGAATCAGTTAACTAAGCTTGGTGATCTGAGATGCACAGTCTGGTGGCTCGCAGTTGGCACAGTAAACAGAAACATGGGAAGGGAACGAATGTGCCGAGAGTGTGCGGAGGATGTGAGATTTCTCTCAGAGCCTCATTACTCACAAGTGGCAGGAGGGAAGACACGAGTGGGTAATGAGGCGAGCCCTGTCTGGTAAAGATAAATTCCATTTTTTCATTAGTTTTATGGTGTATTTGATTTATACCAATCTTGCACCTATTTTTTTTTCTTTTTTTTTTTATTCTTATGTTAATCCCCATACATTACATCATTAGTTCTAGATGAAGTGTTCCATGATTCATTGCTCGTGCATAACACCCAGTGCTCCATGCAGAACGTCTTGCACCTATTTTTACTTTAAATCTCACAAACTCAATTCTCTTCCCTCAGGCTTTATAACTCAGTAACTTGGACATAATTCAGGGGTGTGTTTGAACTGCTTTTCTCTTAAACCCCATTGAGCCATTACATTTCTTCCCTGTGTCCTTGGGAGTTTTTATTTCCTTTGCGGATACTTTAATAACAACTCATTCGCTCATTTAGGTGCCATTTGAGGTGGTGAGGACGGACAGCTGAAGTGACAGACCGGAGATGGACAGAAACATGGAGGAGAGCATCATGGGGCTAAGGCAGAGCTTTGGAGTGAGGATGGAGTCCTAGCCTTGGCGAGTGCTGGTGGTGACCATCAGGACCTAGGACTGATCGAGAACATCTGTCCCATTGCTTTATGGTTATATTGAATGCAGCAACATTTTCTCCTGTGTTATAAATTTTTTAAATAGGACATTAGGAATTAGTTTTAAACTTTGAAAGTCGTCATGTAAGGTCCCACCATCCAAATCCAACACATCACCTTTTGCACAGCATCTTCTGGTCCCTGCGGACAGGCATCCACTTTTGACGTAGTTCCAATCACAATACACATACTGGTTAAAATGTCACTTCCCGTTAGCCCTTGATCACAAACATTTTCCACAGTCTTTGTGATGCTAATTGAATAGGCATATACTTTTTCATGTTCCTTGGGGCCACACTTTATAAGGCAGGTGCCCCTTTTAGTTGTTGTTGAAGATATAGTGCAAATCGTATCTTCCAGCCGCTTAACTGTTGGCTTCTACTACATTATTTCTTTGAGGTTTAGTCCTCAAAGTACTGAGTTAAGGAATAGGTCTGTTGGTTTGTTCATTTATTCAAGAGAGGTTTGCGGGGTGCCCACGAGGTGTCTACACTGTTCTGCACTGCGTGAAGACAGGCCTATGTCCTTCTGGAACTTGCCTTCTAGTTGGGTGAGGGGCGGGGCCCAGGGTGTAGGTTAGTAAACACTTAAATGGTCTCAAGGGTGACCTACAAAATAGGAATGGTGTGAGACTGTCACTGGATAAGGGGGGGGGTTGGCTCATGGCCTTTTAGCTCCTTTATACTCTGTGATCTGGTGCCCGTTTCTAGAATCTACAGCAGAAAAGGAGTATTATAATTTCATGACAACTTTGCCAGCACTGGGAGGGACCACTTTAAAACCACTTTTGCCACAAGGGCATGTGACGAACAGGTGGCCAGCTCGCGGACCCACGATACTTACACACTTACCTGACTGGCGCGGCCCTATCCGTGCTCTGCTCCAGCTGCTTGACCTCCTCTTGCATCTGCTGGGGCTTCGTGAAATGACCCATGAAGTTGAAGTAATCCTCCGCGTAGGGCCGATGAATGTCTGCTGAGTAGTTAATCCCCAATTTCTGTACAAATTCTTGGTAAGTTATGTGTCCTCTTCCCTCCGTGTCATAGCTTTGAAAACAAACAAACAAGACCGTCATCAGTAGCCACCATGGTGTGTGAGCTGGAAATGCAGACTCTGCTCTCTGACAGCACCCAGACCTGATCTGAATCTGCATTTGACAAGATCCTCAGGCAAGGAGCCATAGGCTCATCAAAGTTGGAAACCTGCTGCTCTCATCCACAGAATGGTCACACCTCCTGAGAGGTGATCTTGGTCCCCAGGAAAGAGCAACCAAATTCATTCACTTGTCATTCTGTTAGAAAACGGCTGTGACAGAAAATTAAAATCAAGCCTGCCATTCATTCAACAGGGTTTTTTTTTAATCTTTTTTTTTTTAATTGAGCACCTACATGTAAGGGGAACTATGCTAAGGTTTAGAAAAAGTCCTTCAAAAACATATTCAATCTTAAAACTTAAATAAATCAATGCCATTTGATTCAAATCCCCCATTTCCCCTTTGAAGAGATGCCAATTATATACAACCAGTGAGCGAGACCAGTGAAGAAAACAAGATAAGAATTATGCTATGTACCTTTTATGTCGTTTTCTATTATTGAGATGTTTCTGAATTATAATTCATTAAAAAAGGCATAATGGAGGGTTTTTATCTCCCAGCATTATTCAAATAGAATAGAATTACTTCAATAAAAAATTTTAAGGCAAATTGCCAATTTTCTTTAAAGAAAAAAAAGCATTTATTTTTACCGAAGGATCTTGGTCCTCGTCTGACTGATAAAAATGGCATTTGCGGATGTGATTTTTCTCAGATGAACTCCCAGTTACAAGGACCAAGACTATATTTAAACAATGTTGTGGGCATAATCCTCTAGCAGGCTGTTTGGATGTTTGTCTGACTGAGCATGAGTGCAGGCAGCTTTCCTGTGTGTGGCCGAGCTTCCCTCTGCTCGTTAACTGACAAGACGTGGAAAAATCTGCAGAATCCCACGCTTGCTCACCTCCAACAGACACCTTTGCGACTGTTTCGGTTGAGCAGCGATGAAGAGAACGTATTTATTTCCCCGAATTTCTTGTCCTCGAGGGGTGGGGTGGGGGGAGGAGGCTGAGGGGTAGGAATTTTAGGCAAACCCTTCATGCACTTGTGCTAAAACCCACAGAGCATCCCGGGAGCTGGCATGCCATCCGTCCTTCCCCAAGGCCAAATGGGCCATTCCCTGAAGTGCCTACAGAACTGGGGGGGGGGCCCTCCCTCTCCCCCATTTGTCGCTTCTGTGCCCCACACTTCTGCTTCGTGTCTGACTTCCACCTGCCCTATCGGCATCCGGACCCATTGTGATCAGGTACTCTATCTTACAAGGTAAGGAGATTCCCCTTCTGTGACTCCGAGGTAGCACAGGGTGGAGAACTAACTCCAAGTCAAATAGACGCTCACTCGCCCTGAGACCCTGGCAAGGCCCTCGGCCACTCTGGGGCTCTGGTCCCTCCTCTGTGAGCCCCTGAAGGCCTTCCTAGACCCAACGTCTCAGGTCAGTGCCTTACTGCTGCTCTCCATATATTTATGAAACCATTTGAGGCCTTTCCAGGTGTCTGTTATTAGTGCAGCCTTAGTACTTGCAACACCCCCCACCCCCGGCCAAATACCATTCTACCTGTATTCAGTGAATTTGCTTTCTAAAACAAAACCAAGTGACACACCCACAAAAGAGGGCCTGTGGGGTCTCTGGCTGCCAAGGCATGTGCTGTGGTTTGGGCAGGGCTATGATGCTCCAGGCCACACAGGGGCCTCTAGCAAGTAGCTCTTCCTGCTGCTGGTGATAAGACTCTAGCTGCGGAAAGGGTAGTTTATTTTCCATCAATGCCCCAAGGAAGGGGAAGGAAGAGAAGCTCCCCAAGGCTCCCCGTTCCTATAGGAGGGCTCCGGAAAGAATGGTGTGGAGACCAGTCACTGACCAATGACTCCTCTCTCTTCCTAAGTCAAAAGTGCTGTATTTTCACTTTCGTCTGGATTTCTCCGGGGCCATGGTGAGGATTGGCGGGTAAATGCCCCCTGGGTCTTAGACCAGGGCCTGGCACCCAGTGAGTGCATGCTGGTGTTTGCTGCCGCTGTTCACCACCCAAAGGCTGAACCATACCTTTAGAACGCGCCTTCTTTCCCCGCTAGATGGCAAGTTTGTTGAGGGGCAACCACAAGCAACCACGCCGTGTTATCCTTACAAACAAACTCCCAGCGCCTGGCCACAGGCCTCGCAAAGCTTGGTTATCAATATTTGTCTGCTGAGCTACTGCATGCGAAGGACACGTGTTCCTAAGGAAGCGCCACCATCCTGGCGTGTTGTGCACAAGAGATTACTGACAACAAACTCTAAATCATGACACTTGAACTGAATGAAAAGACACTTCTTAATTACCTCATTAATAAAGATCATAAACATTCCATTCTCATCGCAAAGGAATAGAAGACCAGATTGCACAATTGCAACTAAAATATTGTTATGAATGTGAATAATAAGAGAGTTAATTCAGCTTACATAACCTCACCCTTCATTATATAATCCTTTGTGTAACATTTTAAAAAAATCAACTTGCCTATAAAGGTTGAATTTTAAAATGGCTCGGCAACAGATGTGCCAGGAAAAATGTGCACATAAACAGAGGACCCATAAAAGCTTGCATTTGCATGTGGCAATGGCCGCTAATTTATGATATAATCCAATTACTCTGCCCAATTATTGTGCATACAGCAACTCAGTTGTACACACAATTTGAATACGTTCACATCGATTGCTTTGCTTCGCTCAATCTCAGTCCTTTATGCTCAGTTCAGGTACTTGATTCTTATGTCAGTGGCAGCCCCACCTTCTAGCACCTCTGACCCCAGACTTAGAGGGTCTGGGGTCAGCCCCACTGATGACCCAGGCCAGGCAGCAGAGGTAGACGTGACAACTTATGCAGCTTGGGACGTACAGAATCTTCTCAGGGGTCACCAGGGAGGGCAGTCTGATGGCTAACATCACCACCCTTCAGGGTGGTGTTCCCCTGCCCGAGTTGGTCACGGCCACTGGGCACGGTCAGCAAGTCCTGGTGGCGTCACAGGTTTGAGGGCCGTCCAGGTCCATGATCCCTCCCTGGTGCTCCCCAGTGAGGGGTGGTCTGGCCTTGGATAAAGCCAGGCCGGCAGGGGAAACGCACTCCTTCAAAGACCACCCACTGAAGTGCCTGACGACTTGGATCACGAAAAGTTCTCTATGTTGAGCTAGGAGCCCACCTGGCCAGTCATCCCCAAGCACTTCCAAAATTCCCTCCCAGCTACCGTGTCCTGTTCAGTCTCCTCTTTCCTAAACTAAAGACCTTGCTCATTGGACCCCTTTAATTCCTTTCCTTGCTCCGGGCTGTCCTTGTCCTGCTGTCCCACAGCAGGGTGACCAGCAGGCTCTTGCCAGGTGCTGCCATGGCTGGGCCGATGCAGACGACCAAGCTTCCTGGTAACTTAGAGTCAGGGCTTCTTCCCATGAGCAGGTGCGTTTGGCAAAGGTACCTTGTGTAGTCTTTTCTTTTTGTGTTGGAAGACCAAGATACAACTTACCTACCATATCAAGAAATGTGCAAAAATTGGGCATCAACGATCCCCCCAAAGCCTTCTATCAAGTCCACTTGATCAGCTGGCTTTATACAACTAATCCGATACTGTTAATTCGGAGACTTGCCTCCCTGTGCTAGCCTTCTGGGTATGTTTCTAATGCATTGTCTTCATAGTTTTTCAGCAAAGTCTGTTTTAAATCCAAAATAGTCGAATTCTGTCTGATGAAATGAGGCTACAGAAGGTGTTCCACATGCTGAGCAAGTCCCTGAGAAGTGCCTCCCACAGTGGGCCCCCTGGTGCTGGTGGTCCCCGAGCCAGACAGGCTCTGGGTCTCAGGCTCTGTTGTGATGGGCAGTGTCCTTCCTCTCCTGTCCCAGACTTCCCCCTCCTCCGGACTTCTGCTCACTGGGAAGCCCTTCCTCCTTAATAAAATGACTGTTTATTAAGACTCAGCTCAGGCCTCTTATCCCCCTGGGGGGGGGTGTCCCCTCCCTGAACACCCGCACAGCTCCCACCACCCACAACATTGTGTTCCGTGCTTACCCTCCCCGCCGAGCTGTGAGCAGCCTGAGAGTGGGGGCTGTCTCTGGAACCCCAGCGTTCAGCACAAGGCCTGCAACTTAGAAAGTTTCAAAGAATTCCTGCTTCGTGATCGCTCAGATGAATGAAGAAATGAATGAATCCACTTCTATCTTGTAATTCATTCTTAGCAATCTCTCCAAAACCACGCCAAACACCCTGCTCCTGAAATCTCATCCTCACAGATCCTGATTTGGCTTCAGTGAGCAGGTTCCCTTTCACACCAGCCTCCTTCAGGCTGGAACATTTTGTTCCTTTAATCCTTGATAAGCCAGCCTACGTCCCGGCTCACTTCACACCACGAAGATTGGGTCCTCCCCGATCTGTCCAGCCCCTGTGCAGTTAGTGGGGGCCGCAGGCGGGAGGGTGTCACTTTGGGGCTGAAACCCACCCAAGCCCGTGTGATCCTACAGCTCTGCAGACACCCCCACAGGGCTCAATGAAGCCACAGCTGGAGGCTGGCCAGCTCCCCAAACCACCACTTGGAAGAGAACCGCCCAGAAGAGCTGATAAACACGCCGTAGACACTGGGTGAGTGAGAAATAAAATATCGCTGTGCTAAGCCACTGAGATGTGGGGGTGAATTCATTAATTTGCTTCCACAGCATTGACTAGACCCTCCAGACTAATCTGATGCTCTAAAATAGTGTACTTCACAGGTGCTTAATAAACGTTGAGTGAATAATGGATGCTATTTTTTTTCTTGTCTACATTCTATATTGTACTCTAGGTTTTAATTGTGTATTTTTGAAAGGGCAGAATGTTATTGGTCTACTCACTTCCACTTATCTATTTTGGGGGGCTTTCCTATTCTGACAAGCAGACCCCCTCAGCTGGCAGTGTGTCACATGGGTCCCAGCCGTCCCCGACTTCCCCGCGTTCCTGGGCGGAGAACGACCCCCCCATGGTTAGGGCGACTGAAGGAGGCTCCTGGTGCGTGGACAGCCCCCGGCTGGCCAGCACCTTCTCACCGGCTCAGCGCCTCCTGCTCTGCAGTGCAGGGGTGGACGTGGGGCGTGGAGCAGGGCGGGGCACCTGCCTTTGCCAGCAAACACGGAGTGGACGACTAGCTGAGATCATGGGAACACGCAGAGAATGGGTGGGAAAGCCTCACCACCAGGTCACCATTTATCATGTCTGCTGAGTAGGTCACGGGTGCTTTGTTGTTGTCTTTTCTTTCCCTTTATGCTTTTCTGGATTTTCTGAGACTTTTATTTATTTATTTATTTTTAAGATTTTATTTATTTATTTGACAGAGACACAGCGAGAGCAGGAACACAAGCAGAGGGAGTGGGAGAGGGAGAAGCAGGCTTCCCGCCGAGCAGGGAGCCCGATGCGGGGCCCGATCCCAGGACCCTGGGATCATGACCTGAGCCGAAGGCAGACGTTTAACGACTGAGCCACCCAGGTGCCCTTCTGAGACTTTTAAAATGAGTATGCATTAATATTGCAATTAGAAAAGAATTTCAAATCTATATGATCTTTTTGCTGCCAGTTTTTATGCTTATGTGTGCCAGGTACTCTGCCTCTATTATTTGTCCCCATTGCCATCCTACTTGATAGTTGACTGAAGCCCAGAGAAGGCAAGCCACTGGCCCACCATCACACAGCTCCTGTGGAGTGCCATGGGACCAGCTGCCGCTGTGGCTCAGAGCACAGCCCTTAGCTGCAGCCTACTCGGCCACCTCAGGTTGTCTTCCCAATTTCTGCAGCAGCATCTAATCTCACATAGCCTCTCCTTCCAGGCTGCTAAAGGCTCATTTGCTCTTCCTAAATCTCTCTCACACCTGTCACTTCCTTCCCAGTCCTCCCTGCATTGCCAGGAAAGCTCACCACTTCTCATGTGGACCATTGAGACAGTCCCTAATTCATCTCTGTGCCTCCCACCCAGACTCCTGCAGGTCATCCTCCCCACTATGGCTAGAGTGATCTTTCTAGAACACAGGCCTGCCTAGGTCTTTCCCTATTAAACACCTGGCCTTAGGATGGGGTCCCTGCGCTGTTCTGCCCTTCATGATTTGGTTCAGCGGACATGCAGCCTGCTCTCCTGCCCAAATGAGGCTGCCTGCATCCCGGGGAACCAGGTTATTCTGCAGTCATGGAATATGACACCCTCCTCTCCCTATTAACTGGACGTTCCTCTGGTGGCTTTCAACCGCATGCTCATCCTTCGGCACATCTTCTGAGTTACCCACCCGGATGCTCCCAGGGAGGTGTGCCCGGTCAAAAGGCGGGGCAGCGCAGGCTGTTTCCACTTCCTGCCATATGGCTGTGGCCATGGCTCCTGCCCTGCACAGTGGCTGAGCTTCTAGCAGATTCTGAGGCAGCGCTGGGGTGAAGGCATCTTCCTGACCTCCCAGAAACACCCTGTTCTCTTTTGCCCTCCAGTCCCGGATTGGGGAGCAGTTTCCTGACCTCCCCTCCTAGCATACTCTGCAAGCCCATCAGCCTCTGGCCTCTGAGTAAAACCACATTCCCCCTTCAGACTTCCGGCCCTCTGACATCTGTATCAGTCACTGCATTCAGCCCTGGTTGGCCAGAAATGGTAGAGTGGTTTCTGCTTCCCTGCCCAGATCCTAGTATGACCATTCCTGAAGTTTTCTCTCTCTGCAATGCCCCTCTGCCTTCTCCCTTGGAGGTAATTCCACATGTGACAGATGCCATCATGGGTTTCCCTGTCACCGTTTTTTTTTTTTTTTGCCCCTGGACACATATCCACACTGCTTCTCCCAGACTCCCTTGCAGGTGAGAGCAGCCAGGTGAAGGAACTCTGGCCAACAGAATGTGGGCAAGGTGATGGCCACATTTCCAGGCCTGGTCTCTACAAGGCTGACCACATGGTCCTCTGTGCTCTTTCCCTTTCTCTGCTGGTAGACACAGAAGATCCAGGGGGTGGTGGGACTCCTGGCCCCTGAATGATTTGAGGGCAGACCCCGCCCCCTGATATCCACACTAGATGGAGACATCATTATCAGGGCAAGCCCCTGAGATGCCACCCTGTTGGTTACTGCAGCTAGCCTACCCCGACCAACACACCCCTCAGACAAATTGGGCAGAGCAGAGTGAGGCACAGAGAAGGGAAGTAACTTTGCAGAGGCCACACAGCGGTAAGGACAGAGGCAGGAGCCATGGCCACACGCCTGGTGGCGGAGCTCTCCTCTTCAGCCCTCACCATCCGCGGGGTGAGCCAGCTGAACAAACGCAGATGAAATTCTGACCTCACACAGTTTTCAGCACACAGAAGACATCTGTACATTTAATAATGTCAAGAAATTAATAAAGAAATTTTAGCCAAAAGCAACAGGGAGTATCTCAGTCCTATTTAATGGGCATGTGCTCTATCCCCCCTTCAGGAAGATGAGTGAGTGTGCTCTTCTCTACACTGGAGCCCTCGAGGGGGACACTTGGCTCCAGCACCCCTCTTTCCTGTGGCCCACACCCTGCTCAGGAGCTCATCCTGCCCTACCCTGATGGAGACAGCCATCTCCCTGGGCCCACCCTTCCCTTCTCTGAGCTGTTTCCTGACTCATCTTCCTAAAGCATGGCTGGGTCACACCACTGCTCTGCTCAGCCTTCACTATTCCCGAATGTCTGGCTAATGATGCCTGAAAACTAGGACTACAGGCCGTGATGGCCTTGCTCCTCCTTTCTCACCCTGGGAGCCCCGGGTGGGCGCTTCTGGAATACCTCCCGACTGTCCCATGGGTCAGACAGTCCTCCTTCCCCTCTGACCCCCTGGAACATTCCAACCTCACTCCTACCGTGACAGCTTCCTGCTCTTCCACAGCCCCCCCCGCCCCCCATCCTCCCGCTTTTATCTCCCATCCTCCTCGCCATGGTCCCTCCTCTGGCATTTGTCACAGGCAACACTGTGCCCCAGCATTTGGGTTAGTGCTTGCATTCCCCGATGGGTCCCTGACTATCGGGACCACACAGTCCCCTTTGCATCATCCAAAAGCCTACAGAGTGGAAGGTCCATCCGTGTGCCTGTGTACCCCAATCTTTTGGTTACTCAGTGGGACCTACTCATTTCATCTACTGAAAGAGAATATGAATAAGGAGCCTAAATTGGCCCTGTGTTGCAACTGATCTAAAAAAAATAAGGATTCTGTAAGAACTTCAAGTTGCTTTTCTAAATTAGACACAAAACAGCCCACCTAGTTCTAAACTCAGCCAACATTTCAGCCTTCCACTTTGAACAGATGAAAAGCTACAAAATTACAGGAGCTGCTCCGTGAGCCAGCCCCTGAGAGGATGTACAATACTGGTGTGCCATCCTGGGGGGTGCGAGCGGCAGCGAACGCATCATGAAGACGGAGGTAACTCAAAGATGGATCTGGAACTTAGAAATGGACCGCATTGTTAGTGCACCTTCAAACTCAGACACCTACATGGGGACTATTGGAACTGGGGACCTAATTCAAGAACAGCTAAATCTAAAATACATTTTGAAAAATGTAACCAGTATTAGATATTATGTTCAGTTTAAGACACGCTCGGGAAACTACTCCAAGATGCCAAAAGTTTGGTTATTTTCTTTCAACAAATTACTTACCCATAATACTGTTGTGCGACATTGATTTCCATCTTTAGGCAATGGGGAGAGACAGCTTCTCCCCTTACCTGTTGCGGCTCCGTCTGCTGAGCTACTTGTATTAGAATGAAGTCTTTGGAGAGTGACTTAGTTTTCTAAAACAATACAGGTTTGGGCTTGAACTCCCCGTTCCTTGCAAATGCAAACCTCTCAAGTCTGGTATCAATGATGAGTGTTTACCCTGATTCTCCATTGTCCTGAACACCAGCCTCTTCGCCAAGGCTGCTTTCTCGGGGAAGCAAGGACCCAGAACAGACACAACTGAACGGAAACCTTTCCTGGCCCCGCACTTCACCCCCAAGTAGCAAGCAAGGCTGGTGCTAAGTTTGCTGTAGCCAGCGACCCGGGACTGGCAGGATGAAAGGGAGCCCACCTGCAGATTCCACTTACCTCATCCAGAGCTTTTCAAATTCCCTCGGTGTAAGAGGAATATCAAACCCATATAGTGCGTTCTTTATATCCCGCCGCCGAAGAATGCCGTTGCCCTCATTATCAGTTTCTATAAAATTCTAGAACACGACAAGACAACATTTAGTAACATACAAACGTGTTCATGGCACTCTAGAGGATTGTCAATAGTCAATATCTGGAACAATCTAAGACATTTCTCTCCCCATCTACCTGCTTAATTACCTTTTCATCAAAGTTCCAGATACCCTCACCATTCCTGTGAAGAAGGTGACAGAGCAAAACTCGGACAAGTATCATGTACTAGAAGGGGCTTGTTTCTGGGTAATGAGTGGTCTCAGGTGTGTGATCTGGATTCTTCTCCTGACCAACAACTTGGGTTCAAAAACTATTAGAAAGAAGGGGCAAGCAGAGCCTGGGAAATGAGACTGTAGCCCTCGCAGTGGCTTCGGCCCTCTGTCCGTAAGAGGGGGATGAGGCGCATGAGACCCCAGCTGTTATGACAAGATGATATGGTACCTTTTTAATGTCCCCAAGGGGTGCAAAAGGTGTCTGGGGGATTTGTCAGCCACTTAAGAGGGCCACAGACTAGCAGGTAATGTGCGGTACTCGGCACTGACTTGTTTGTGCATAATAGCTCATCTGGCCCTTCTCATAACAACACTGTGGAGCAGATGCAGTGGGACACGCGCAGAGTCCTCTTCAAGCATCACACTCGATGGTGAAGATGGAGACAGTCCCTTTAAGGTCAGGAACAAGGTAATATCTCTGCTGCTCTCTCTTCAACATGGTACTGGAGGTGTCAGCCAGTGTAGTTAAGCAAGAAAAGGGAATAAAAGGTATAATGGGGGGACAGGAAGAAATAGAGCTGTCATTATTCATAGATGACATGGCTGTATATATAGGAAGAATCCACAAACTACTATAATAAGAGAATTTAGCAAGGAGTCTGGATTTTATAGCAATAGGCAAAATCATTCATATTTTTATGTATCAGGCACAGAAAACAAATTTCAAAAAAATATTTATAATAGCATCAAAAATAGAAAGTCCTAGGAACAAATCTTACAAATGATTGCAAGACTGCCACACAGAAAAGTCTAAAACTTTACTGAAAGATATTAAAAATATGAAAATAAATGGAGAAACACTATGGGCACAAACTGGAAGACTCATTTCTCTCCCAACGAATTTCCCAATAAGTTTCGTTTCTTTGTGAAACTTGACAAACTGATTCATAAACTCCTAAAGAACAAGGAGGAGGGACTTGCCTACCAGCTAATTAAAATTTATTACTGAGTTATGGTGATTATAAGGACGTGGTATTGGTGCCAAGACAGAAAGAGTGACCAGTGGACAGAGTGAGGAGCCCAGAGACACCCATGGGCCTTGATGCAGATCGTGGTGTTGCCATAGATCAGTGAGGGAAAGGCTGGGCCTTCCAGGGGCTAGACAGCTGGGTCTCCAGATGGAAGAGCCTTCCAACATGCAGGAGACAGGCGGTGTAGATTTCAAGACCAGGATGTGAATGGATACACTGGAAAGCTGCTAGAAGGACCTTGGAAAGCTGCTAGAAGGACATCTTCATGACTTTGGGTGGAACACAGTTTCTTGGACAAGACCTACAAGGAAATGTTAACATCTCTGACTACCTCAAAAAGAAGAACTTATATTTACTAAAAGATATCCTATGAGAAGAGTGGAAACACAGAACACACACTGGGAGAAGACATTTGCATCGCGTATCACTTACAAAAGACCAGTGGCCAAACTGTCATAGGAGCTCCTATTGACCAATGAGAAATAACCAGACAACCCAGTGTGAAAACTTACAAGCAGGCACTTGAGGGAGAAAGGAAATCTGACTCAGGAATAAGTGAGAAGATGCTCACTCTCATTAGTAACCCACACACGCTACCTAGTGCTACAGTGAAATACTATCATACATCCACTACCGAGGAGAAAAATGAAGTCTGACAGTACCAAGTGCCACCATAGTGGAGCCGAGTGGCTGGGACTGAAGCCGACGGCCCAAGGAGCCAAAGCTAGTCACCGTCTGGCCCTTTACACAGAGTGTGCTGCACTGTCTATGATGTGGACAGTGTTCTCCTCCTTCATCTGGATGGTGGTTACGTGACGGGACGCAGCTTGGGATACGTGCTACCTTAAACGTGCCTAAACTATTATGTGTATTATGACCCATATACATGTGTTCATGTATATTATACACACATATAAATATATACATATTATATATAGTACACATACATATAATAGGTATCAGTATTATATTCCACTGTAGAGTCACAACTTAAAAAACAAGCTTAAAGCAAGCCACTTCAATCATTAATTCACACAATTCTTTGGTGCCCTTATTGGTGTTTACACCACAAGTCTCTTGGAGACAGAGACCATGTCCTTTTTTGGTCACTGTGTCTTTAACATCTTGTAACAGTGCATTGTTAATTCATAATGTTTGCTGAAGAACTCAATGAACTTGGTTTCCAAAAACACTTCCGTGGGAATGAGCCTGTTAGGCCACCCAGAATGGGACGATGGCTGCGTACGTCCGAGCATTCGGCCGGAGGCATCCTTGGCCCAGCCTGGCTGAGCGGCTCGCTGGGGCCCCTAGCTGAAGATGGCTGGATGGCACCATACTGGAATTCTTGTTCAAGTTTCACATGAAGTTTTCCCAGAAGACTACACCCTTTCTGATATTCCCAGGTCCCGTTTGGTGAATCCTCAACAGCGATGCAGCAGAAGGGAGCCGCGGCCCCCGCTCTGCGGCACCCCAGAAGGAAAGAGCAGGGGTGTGCTGGCGGCTGGGGACCACCCGCCTCATCACCGGGATGCTGCTAGTCTTAGCTATGCATCACCGTACTTTCTGCAGGTTCAGAATTCAGAACGGATGCCTTCAGAGCTTTATTCAAAGTAAAGCAAGAGGGTGGCAGAGCCGTCTTACTATTAAGACATGCAGGGTCATTCAGTCCCATGGGGTCTGAGAGAGGTGTGGGGACGGGCAGGATGCCTGACTCCCGACAAAGTGGCTCCACACACCCCATTGGAGCCGTTCTGATTGCTCTTCCTCTGTAACCCTCTGATTGTCTTCTTCCCTCCCCACACTTCCGCCAGGCTCAGTTCTAGAAGAGACAGACTTGAGGCTGCTGGTTTAGCAGCAGAGGACTCCGGGGTCCCCGCGCCTCCTTTGAACACACTGAGGTTTCTGTAGAGCATCAAGGATAAAGATGACTTTGAGAGGCCACGGGAATCAAGATGCGGACAGGCGAGTGCAGAGGACATGCTCGCAGCAGTGAACACAGAGACGGAGAGGGGTCACCAGCCCAGATGGGGGCAGGCCTGGGCAGGGAGCAGAGAAGGCCCCACAAAGCCGTCGTAGAGCCAGGGGAGGAAGCATTTCAGGAAGGATGGATGTCACAAGGCAGAAACAAAGACCTCCACAGCCCTCTGGTCACCCCCCCAGCAGTCTGTTCATTTTCCCCAGAGCGCCCACCTGCTTTGTTAATTATCTGCCTTTGCTCCTTCACCGGCCCCCGCCCTGGTCAGTGAGCTGAGAGGTGGAAGCAGAGAGACCTTCGCTACCACCGAACCCCTGGCACAAACCCACGCGGCCCAGAGATGTGCTGCGTACATCGAAGCGGGGCAGGACGCAGCTGGGAAGGGCCTGGAAGTGGCCCCGGGAGCCCCTGGGCCCACGGAGAACAGCGCCAGCGGAGGGGGTGTGATTGGGGCAGGAGGAAGAGGGGACAGAGGTAGCAGGGAGAGGAGAGGCGGGCCGAGAGAAGCCGAGGACAGGGCGTGGAGAATGGTGTCACACAGTGTGCTCTGCCCTCTCTCGGCTGGCATGCTGTGTGGCCGCAGCTCACGGCCCAGAGCAGGCCCTGCACTCCCGAGGAAGGCCCTGGAAGGCCAGCCCTGCCCAGTGGGCGCTCGAGGACTCGATCCGTGTGATTTGCACCCTGGGCCGCTGCACAGTCAACTCTGAAGACAGAGGATGGGGGAGAGGCAGCCCCAGGGCGGCCCAGGACTTACAGGACAGAACTTCACGTTGCACACAGGCCAAGAGATGCAAACATAGAAAGAAAACGACCAAATGAAACAAAGTGGAGGCTTTCTTCACAATAACGTGAAAATACCTCCATAGTGCAGTCTTAAAGATACTCCCTAAGGCGAAGTTATTGTGTCCTTGCTACATTATGAAAGGAGGATCCCACACTCCAGACTTCTGGATGAACCGAGTCCTACATGCTCGGTTCTACTGTCCTGGGGGTACAGCTGTCGTTAGATTATGTTCCTGCCTCGACACCAAATAAGTGTACATGACGGCCCGTCGAGGGCATTCACCTTCAAAATGTGCTTCCTATAATTTTGGAAGGCAGGAAGAAATACTACTTAAAGATGCATATTTTGAACTGTGTACAAATAACATGACAGTGTCATTTCTTTTTACTTAAATTTTAAATTTATATCAAACCTGAGATAAAGCTAGGAATTTCTGTCTACGTAACTCCAACAATTACTCATTTTTCTAAACATCAGTTGACCTTGAATGTGAGAATTTATTTTGAAAAAAGTATTTTAAGAATAGCAGGAGTCACGGATTGGGTATACAAAGACTGGATCTAAACAGCTTGATCATCCCAACGATCTGGGAACACTGAAATACATTTCCTTTCCTTTTAAGGAAGTAATCATTTTCTTACCTTAGATAAGTCTGACCATCTGGTTTTTGCTTTGGTAACAAGATACTGATGAGCCTGTTCACAAGCTAGTTCTGAATCTGCGACCTTCTGTTTTGGTCTTAAAAGAAAAAAAAATAACCGTGTTTAAATTTAATGGACTCATTAATCTCCCAAGGGATTCCCCATCCCCATTCATTTCAAAGACACCGCTAAAGTCTGTTATTTCACATCTGGTCTAACTTAATTCTTAAAATACAGTCTTATTTCCCCAGCTGTATGTTAGGGAAGTCTTCTTAAATTTTATAAGTCCTTGTTTATTTTCAGATAAATGCTGTTCAACTTTTTCTGTAGCTCACAAAACAAACAGGGCTCATTTATTCTCAGAAGGGGACAAAAACACAATAGAATGGTAAGTATCTTTAGAAGAAAACAGCTAAAAACTTTTATTTCTGAACTCACACATGGGAATGACTGGAACGCAGACTTCAGGAACAACGGGGGAGGATTGCTTACTCAGTCCCAGCTCATGTGCACAGGTTGGGCTCATGGGACGTAAATTGATCAAAATTCTGTTTATTTCCTCACACAGTGATGGACACAGAAGACACTTTAAAAAAACACCTTGTGCTTACCACCGGGGAGAGGCCACGGTGAGGGGCACTGAGGGCTGTGGCCGAAGCAATTTGAGGTGCCCTGGATTCTTCCACTAGTTGTGGAGGGGGATGGTGTATGAAAACCTATGACACCCTTCCCCGCTTAGTCTTCTGGAATTGCTTTGCTCCTAGGGGCACCTCTCACTCCATTTCTGGGCACCTGAGCTTTGCACATCCAGATCCGCACCTGAAATATTCTCCCTGGAGATACAAGAGCACTCGAGACATTCCTCCAGCAAAACGGACCGTACACACATCACCCCAACAGTTTCCTGAAATAGGATCACATCTGAGGCCCCACTTGGAACCCGCACTTATTCACGGACCCCTCGGGTGAAGCACATCTTGCCTGAGAGTGGATAAGAGGGACATCTGACCGAAGTCTATCCAGACCCTCATAGAAACTTCTCCTTATGGGACCCAAGAAAGCCAGTGTGGGGGACAGACAGCAAACAAGCTCCATGTAGGCCCTTTAAAAAAGTATTATTTCTGCTTCTGCAAATGAACTGACTCTAAGAAATAAAGTCTAAAGTCAACCGCCATATGCTGCCAATTGAGAAAATGCAGGAATTTATGTGTCCCACACGACGCAAGTCAAAGGTTTATGTAATCCCCAAAGAAAGACTGCTTTGAACGTGACCATCTGTGTGTGACCCTCGGGTCGGCAGCACTGCGAGGGGTTCTGGGGTAATGATGGCCGCCATGAACTCAGGAACCGGTGGGTGCTGAGCACTGCTGGTCAGGTGACTCGCAGGATCTTGAGTTTTCCCCGCAATCCTGGCATTACCATCCCACTTTGCAAAAGAGGAAGCTGTGGTTTAGAAAGGTTAAATAATTTGCCAAAACCACACATAGCCGGTATCTGGGAGCCATTCAAACTCAGTCCTCTGATGCCACAGACGCCTTTCTCACTACCGCTTTCGCTCCTATCGGAAGCCACATGTTTGGTGCTCCTTTAACCCACTCTTTGTGGGAAAAGATCCATTAAGTATTACATTTTTTTAAAAAAAAAGTAGTTTCCACGTCCAGCATGGGGCCCAACGCAGGGCTTGAACTCATGACCCTGGGGATCAAGACCTGAGCTGAGATCAAGAGTTGGATGCTTAGCCGATGGAGCCACCCAGGAGTCCCCAAATACTACATTTCACAGAGGTGAGGGCCACCTTTGGTTTTTATGCACTGAGGGGTCCTCCTTCCACTTAGCATTTCGGTTTCAGTTCAACGAATGCGGCATCCCCAGTGTGCAGTGCCAGGCTCAGCGCAAGGGCTGGAGAAGTGCAGCCTGCGGCTTCCGCCCACCAGACAAGAGTCTCCTGGAAGCGCCACTCTGTCACGCATTTCACAAGCAGACGGCAAGGCAGGTCACAGCAACTAGAATCAACAGAGCAAGCAGTACTAATAGCGCTCTGTGTGGCTTCTCCTTCCAGTCCCTTCGAAGAAATGCTGGTGCTCCCAGACAGCTGTCCCAGGGACCACTCCTCAAATTACTCAATGATCTACAGTGCCCAGCACCTGCTAGTCACCAAGTTCGTTGGTGGCCGTGATTACCCCAGAAACCTACACTGGGCTACTGACCTGTGTGCCACATAGAAAGGGCCTTATTTTAATTACATCACCTGTGAATTACATAAACTGTGACTCCCACGGTTTGGCAAACACAAGTTCTTGCATTTACTCAGTTGGCAGGGTGCTGAGGACCAGCGGCAGATTGGGTGGGGTCTCTTCCCTCTTCCTTAGTTACCGTTCAAATGGACCAAATGCGGATGGGCCCAGGTTCATTTTCCCTCCTGGAAAATGCCAGCTCGTGGGGGTCCATGGGTAAACTATGGCAGGCACACCTCCCTTTATCGAGCCCTCACCCCAGTTTTTAAATTCACCAATTACTTGTATATTGCCGAATCCAGGGGGATTCTTTACTGGCTTTCTGTTCCATGTGTCACTGTTAATAATCTCTCCCCTCTCTGGTGGTCTTCATCATGCTGCTCTTTAAATGACACAATGAAGGGGGACACCGACCCTGGGGCCAGGCAAATGTGCCTTCAGTCAGTGTGATTTTCTGCCCCTACCTGGCTCCCTCCACCCTTGACCACTCCTCTCTTTCCATCCCGAAGTTTATTTACTCTTCTGAAAGGTCATCCCTTCTAATGTCCCCAACCACACCCTGATGCCTTGTACCCACCCATCTGTACCACTAGTGCTATAATGTCACCTGCTTTTCCCTTCCATCTCTCTCCAACTGCCTACCGGACTCCACAGAATCATGGAATTTCAAGGGTGGAAAGGGATCCGAAGGTCAACCAGTCTCATCCTTTGTCCGTAGTTCACCACTAAAGGCTTTGGAAGGTTGGCGGGATTATGTTGCATTTTCACAAATATTGCTTATAGGACTGTAGGTCCTAATGATGCATATTCCCCTGCCTTCACCTTTAGGCTCCTTCTAAATCCAACCTGCACCCAGAGGTCTCACCTGAACTTCCCCCAAAGGATGCAGATTCTATGTCTGCAAAGTCAATGTACCCAAACTGATCTATCTAAATGCAAATCCAAACAGCCCCCGCCAATCCAATTTCTCTTCTAGGCCATAAGTCTTGATTATTTTCTTAGGGGTCCATGCTCAAACCAGGGACTCCTAAGGTTTTTCCATCCATTTCTCCCCTGTCCCATCTTTTTTTTAATTTTTTAAAATTTTTTTAAATGTTTTATTTATTTATTCAT